TGGTTTCCTGAGAGAATGTATGTGAGATAGATTTTTAGGTATTATATACTTCCTTTTCTTAAAAAAGAAAAAATTATTTGTGTGAAAGTCTACAAATTACTGATTTCTCTTAACACCAAGCGCTTAGACATTTTGGTTTGCAACATAAATTGTCATTGATTATTTTAATTTTGAAATATTATATATTTCTGAAAATGTTTTCATTTTACCCTGATTTTTCCACATTAGAATTAAATAAACAAAGAAAAATCAGTTCACCAGACTGAAATGAGACTACCAAAAGCTTTAGTCCATAACTAAGAACAACTATAAACAAGGAATAAGTAGTATAATTTCAGAGTATCCAAATGGAAAGGAAATTGATTTCAAGATAGAGTGAACTGTTTTACACTTGGAAATAAAACAGTCATTGTTAGCATGTCCTCCATGAAAATTAGTAGACACATTGAAAGGAAAAAGAAGAAATTCATAAAAACTTACTAAACATTAGAACAACAGAAGTGATACAAACAATATAAATGCAACAGAGAAAAGTAGATGGAACAAAGAAATTGACACAAAGAGTATAGTAGAATAATAGCAATAAAACCCTATTGATAGTTAATGTGAATGGAGTAAGTGAACCAGTCAAGGAAAAAAAGAATAGTAGAATGGATAAGAAAAATTAATCAGCATAATGGCCACAAAAGATGTACGTTAGAACCAAGGACAAAAATTGATGAAAAATCAAAGAGTAAAATAAATATATATCAAAAAATTAGTAGGAGTAGCAATATTAATGTCTTATAAAATACAAGTCAAAAACTAGCATCTAGCATAAGATGAAAGGAAGGACATCATTATATTCGCTGAACAAGAAGACATAACTAGGCACCAATATCTTTGCACCAAATTCTAAGCTGGCAGAAAGCCACCAAATGATAGACCCCCAAAATATATAAATCATACTTTTGTTATGAACAGTAATTTTCCCCTCCATTGTTTCTAATCTCATTTAAGAACCTGCATTTAATAAGTCCATTGTCATTCATCATTCATGTTTTCATTTTAAAATTTAACTTTCTGTGTTGTCTTTTTGCGGGTTTATTATTGTCACCCACTGTCTTAATCCAAAATACCCTACTGCAATATGTAGATGAGTTTATTTGAAGGTAAATAATTTGTATTTTGTTATGTTTGATGTTTACTGAGTTTTTGTAACTATACGTGAATGGCTTGTTGTGTATCATTGAGTTGGAGCTGACCCTCCTGCAGAGGCATTTAATCGCAAAGGAGAAGAAGACTTATCTTTCTCCCATCGAGCAGCTAGTGGATTTGAACTGTGTGTTTTTGAGATTGCAGCGCAGCTTTTTACCACTAGACTACCAGAACTCTCAATATTCATCGGTTAGTCATAAATATGTAAAATATTTATCATATTGATAAGGAATTGGCTTGAAATATGCTAGTTTATGCTTGTAATAATAAGTGGGAAAATAAATTAACAACTTAATGTTACTGTATTTGATGAATGTAAAATACATCCAGTTACCAATGTTTGATAACTATAGTGTTAAAATAATGTGGACTGAGTTTGTATATGTAGTTTTTAATTTGAGTAGGGAGCTCTAGTAGCCTAATGGATAAGAAGTTGCGTTGCTAACCCCAAAGCTTACATTTCAAATCCACCAGCTGCGCTGTGTGGGAAAGATGGGCAGTTCCTCTCGTGCATTTTACAGCCTCTGAAAATCAACTCTAGTGCTCGCTTTGGCAGCACATATACTAAAATTGGAACGGTACAGAGAAGAGTAGCATGGCCCCTGCGCAAGGATTACACGCAAATTCGTGAAGCGTTCCATATTTTCAACCCTGAAATGAACCAGTCTGTAACGAAGGCTAACTGCTAACTCCTTTCACCTACAAATTTCGTCTTTGGATACAAAGCTAAGTGGATAGTCCTTACCGAGGGACTGTTTAAAAAAAGAGGCAGGGAGAAGAAAAGAAAAAAAAGAAAATCAACTCTAGTGCTAACAGAGTCAGTTCCAGGTTGACATTAATGAGCAACAACTTAATTTCTCTCAAATGCATTCAGTGAAGTATTTATCAGAACACTTAAAGGTGTCATGCTAAGAATTCAGCTCTTAATTAAAAAATCTTAGAGCCTGTTGTATGGAAAAGTTGATGTCTCAGAGAAATATGTTAGACACAGTCGAAGCATAATGTTTGTGTGTGTCATTAGAAGTTACCTTCTGGTTCTGACTCAGGATATTCTGTACAACAGAATAACACATTGCACTGTTCTTTGTTGTCTTCAGCTCTCTGCTGGGCTTAATCCTGGTTTTGCCATCCATCTCACTCAGGGCCTTCTTTTTTTTTTCTCCTGACCTTTTATACTTTACCAAGCTTGATGTCAATTTCCAAGGGCTAGCTCCTTCTGATAATAGGCCCAAAGTATGAAAGATTTTCTTCATCTTGCTCATTTTAAAAATTAGATTGAACACAGTCATTCATATATATTGTATGTTCTACAATCATTCATATGCATTGCGTCTTATATAGTTACTGTTGCTCTGCCTGTTATCACCCCTTCAAGTCCTCATGGAATCTTTCTTATCCCTTCACCCTCCCTCTACCCACTAAGCTCTGCTAGCCTAGTGATTTCTGTCCTTCTCCTTCTGCCCTCCCTTGTCCCTATCCCTTCCACTTTTGAGCATTTATACATACCTTGCTCAGTTATCCTCATATTGTCACAGTAATGGCTTTATGCAGGATTTGTTCTTATGTGACTAAATTATTTCACTCAGCATAATACTCTCTAGGCTCCCATGTTAACATAGTATTTTATGAAATTATTCTTCTCTAGTGCTTAGTATCCCATTGTGTGAATATATCACAATTTCTCAATCTGTTCAATTGTTAATGGGAATTTAGGCTGTTTCTGTTTTTTTGCTATTGTGAATAATGCTGCTATGAACATAGGTGTGTATGTGTCCATTCTTGTCTCAGTTCTGGTCCTCGGGTTATTTTTGTCATAATGGAAAAGCGGATTATAGGAGATTTCTATGTTCAGCTTTTGCAGAAACGCCAAACTGCCCTCCATAGCAGTTACCCTTTCACAATCCCACTAGCAGTCAAAATTATGCATTCTTGCTCCTAAGGAACATTCTGTCTGAACTTCATCTAAGACTTATTTTTTTTGACAATTCATGTAATATTCAATATTCTTTGTCAACACAGTAATTTAAAAAAAAGCATCAGTTCTTGGTCTTTCATTTTCATTGGCCAACTTTAAATACTGTGATTTAAGTTATAACTGTGGACATAACTTTATCTAGATATTGAATTCTTTTTAAAGGTGATGATTGGGCTGAGTCTTGAAAGATTGGTTACATTGAAGGCAAAGGTTGAGGAAGTAGTAGAAGAACTTGATGCAGTCAAGTTTGATGGTTATAGCAAGGTGATAATGGAGAATTTAGAAGACACTACTGTCATGTACTTTAAATCATAAACTATTTTGAGAGCACTCTGAAGACATTAAGGAGCTCTGCTGGCAGAGTACATTACGTGTCGGGCTGCCACCTTGATGGTCAGTGGTTTAAGTCCACCATTTGTTCTGTGATAAAAAGATAATCTATCTCCTCCTGTAAAAATTTACAGACTTGGAAACCTGAAATAGGATTGTTATGGGTTGAAATCAATTTGATGGTAGTGGGTTTAGTTTTGGTTGAGAAAACACTAAGAAACTTTTCATTATCACTTGCTGTGCCTCTTCTTTACTAAGTGGCCTTTTCCATGGACTACTCTATCTTGAGAATATGTCTATAAATGAAGTCTTGCCATTCTTACTTCTAAGCGGCATCCTGGCTTTGCTTCTCCCAGGACAGATGTATTTATTCTTCTTACAGTTGATGATGTATTTAATTTCCCTTGTGAAAATAGATTTCTTTTTTTCTACCATCATGCTTTTGAAAATGTACTCCAGAAGGATGGTAGTAGAGAAGAGAGAGAATGTCAGAGGTAATTAAGTAGTAGAGTCTTATGTAGGAATTGTCAAGGTTCTTCCGGAGGGGTCTAGCTTCAGGGTATGCCTTGGTGCCTTTAGTTACAGTTGGTAGCACCAGGGAGAGGGGAGTAGGTGTATCATTAATTAGTAAAGAAGTTTTGGATATAGAGTTTTTAATCCTCTGGTGATACCCAATTAGAGCTATTGTTGAAGCTCAAAAGAGTATTTTGTGTTAGATATGTTGGGCTTGTATATATACTTAAAAACAAAGGGCAGTTTTTTTTGTATGTACCATCAACTCGGATCTGACGTAACAGGAGTTGATTGCCCCTCCTTCTCCAACAGAGCATCTGGTGGATTCGAACTGCATACCTCTGAGATTGCAGTACAGCTTCTTGCCACTCGGCCACCAGAGCTCCCTAGCACCTTGATTCTTTTATTTTTAAATTTTATTTTATTAGTTGTTGTGTGTGTGCCGTCAAATTGAATCTGACTGGTACAGGAGGAGATTGTCCCTCCTTCTCCAGCAGAGAGCATCTGGTGGATTCAAACCGTGTACCTATGGGATTGCAGTACAGCTTCTTGCCACTAGGCCACCAGAGCTCCCTAGCACCTTGATTTGTAAATCATTTTGAAATCTGTATTTTTTCCCTTCTCTTATTATTGCAGTTCTTTTCCTGAGAACACTGAACTCAGGAGCATGGTTTCCAGTAGCTCAGCAATTACAGTCCTTACTTTATTAACTGTTGTTCCTGTTACATTGAAGTCAGCTCATAGCTGTCCCTCCATTGGGTCTAGGAGCTTTAATTTACACAGGCAGAGATCCTGTCTTTCTCCTTTTGAGCAGCTAGGGGATTAGAACATCCTGCTTTTGGATTGGTAGTGCATTTCTTTTACTAATAGGCTACCAGATCTCCCTCCTGTATTTCTCTTTGTTTACCCTTGGTTTTTTCTTAATAATAGTGATTATATACTTAATATGCTTTGCCATTTTACCTATACATTTTCTTTTTTCCAGAAGGTGAACTTATGGATTGTGATGGAAAATCAGAATCTAGTCCTGAGAGGGAAGCTGTGGATGATGAGACTAAGGGAGTAGAAGGAGCAGAAGGTATCAAAAAAAGAAAAAGAAAACCATACAGACCAGGTATGATGCCTGAACTAAGTGTTTAAGTAAAATCAAATTACAAAACCTGGAACACTGAGGCTTTTCAGTTAAACAAAATACTTAAGACTAAATTGAGCACCTTAGCAAACTTTCAGATGTAAAGCTTATTTATATAAATTGAAGAACTGCACTGATTATTCATTTTAGCTGATGAATTCCTAAAGTTGAGAGAATGAAATTCATTACTTAATCCTTAACCTAGATATTAACTAATTTTCAGTAGTTGCTTTCTAATATTGGAATGTTTTAAAACTATTTTTAAGGGAGCTCCGGTGGCCTAGTGGCAAGAAGTTACACTGCAATCCCAGAGGTACACGGTTCAAATCCACTAGATGCTGTGCTGGAGGAGGATTGGCAATCTCCTCCTGTACCAGTCAGACCTGATTTGATGGTACACACACAGAAAGTGATAAAATAATTTTTTACAAAACCAAACCACAAAACTATTTTAAAATGTTATTGAAGGAGTCAAATTCAATATGAGTATGATAGTATAATATAAAGAAGAAGTAGTTTTATATGCTTCTAGACTTTATAATCCAGTTAGTACTGTGAATGATAAAAATGCTTCCTTTTTTTTTTTTTTTCTCTTTGCATCACGGAGCTAGGAAAAACACTCAGCTCTACCAGTCGTATTTACTTTATGGAGAAAATAATTGAAATAATTTTGGTATGGAATTTGGGGTTTTTTTAGACATCTTATTAATATCTGATAATTCATTTTAAAAGTATTGAATTTGTTGCTTTATAACATAAAAAAAAGTTTGAAAATGGGTCATTGACAGGGTATTCTTTGTGCCCTTTAGATTGATAAAAATAGACAGGAAATTAATATGTATGTATCCATTTTCCAATTAGCCAGTTTACCGATGTATTACAAAATTGAGTCAGTGTAATCTCTATTCCTCTAAGGGCTTATATTTTGTTAGTAAGAATGATTTAAGCATTTTTTATTTTAAGGAAAGACTTGTTAACGCACAAGAGCATAAAAATAACCTTTTCTTCAGATTATTCACATTTTTTATAGATTCTTTTTTTGAAAATTTTTATGTGTGTGTGTATGTATGTAAATCGGATCTGACTGGTACAGGAGGAGATTGCCCCTCCTCCAGCAGAGCATCTGGTGGATTTGAACTGCGCACCTCTGGGATTGCCACACAGCATCTTGCCACTAGGCCACCGGAGCTCCCTTAGAGTATTCACATTTTTTATAAAAATACTAGTTTCATTCAAATCATTTTATGTGACTAGTTTACTTTCTTTCCAAATACTAGCCTAAAAGTGCTTTTTAACTTTTAAAAACATTCACCAAAATGTAAATTTTTTTTTCCTGGAAATTTATGTTTGGTGATGTTTTCTTTTTTTTGTTTTGGTCTTCTTTTTCCCTGTATATGGAAGTCATATCTAATTGATGAGCCAGGAGAGCACAAGATCCTTGGTTAGACAACTATGTCATAAAGGTGGGGTTAGTAGGCAGTGAGAATTTTTCTGTGTGTTAATTTATTTAATCCTCATATCATGTAGGAGTAAAAATAAAAATAAACAAAAACAAACAAACAAAAAACCAACCATACCCTAAGACTCATTGCTGTCAAGTTGGAACTGACTCTCCAGCAGGATTTTGAAGGTTTTTTAGTCACACAAGGGGAGATTGTCCATCTTTCTCCTGTGGAGCTACAAGTAGATTTAAACCTCCAAAGAGGCAGTTGCCTTTTCGTTACCCTATGGACTATGCCACCAGAGCTCGCATAGATGGAGTGTGTTATCCCCTTGTTTCTAGTGAAAAAATTGAGTAATTTAAATAATTTCCAAAAAATAGGATACAGAGATATCTGGTCGCCTAGTCTGTAGGGTTGCACTGGTATCCCAAAGGCCACATCTTATTGGCTGTTCAGATTCCACAGCAGCAATTAGAGAAAAATGAAGAGTCTGGTCTCATGCTATTTATACCCATGGAAACCTACCGGAGAACCAGCAATGAGAAAGATAGTCACCAGAGTTTGAATATAAACAACCCGCCTCCAGATTTCATGCTCAATCACAAAGCTCTGTGTGTTTCAAGCCTTGATCATATGTAATGAATAGGCACAACTCCATGAAGTCTTCAAAGATTGAATCCTATATTTTATCTTGTATCTTTCTTAGATAATATGCAAATAACATAAATTATGCAGTGTAAGTTACTAATTTTTATTAGTTTGATAAATATGAATATTTTAGTGTTTGTCATTCTGACATTGTCTAAAAGTAAAAATGTATTCAGACCTTCTAAAAAATTTTACTTCTGTGTGGTTAGTGTTAACAATGACTTTGACGTCTCTTTGCTTATTTCCAAACTCATACATTTTTGCATTAAAATATTGCCCTCAATGAGTCCAAATTGAATTTTGGTAAATGTCCTACTAAATTATGAAGCTAGGGGTATATACTAATTGTTTACAAATTTATTTACTTTCTCTTTTTGATAGGTATTGGTGGGTTTATGGTTCGGCAAAGAAGTCGAACTGGACAAGGAAAAACCAAAAGATCTGTGATTAGAAAAGATTCTTCAGGCTCTGTCTCTGAGCAGTTACCTAGCAGAGATGATGGTATGTTACTGACAGTATTTTACTCTAAAATCTTAGTCTATCCTAAGTAATGTTACAATCACAACCTTATTCCTTGATAAAAGTATTAGATTCATATCTATTTTTTTCTATAATTATATTTTATTAATTTTCATAAACATTTGCAGAGATTTTGGGTTTCCATTCATTCATTGTTGCACTATTCTCTCTACCCTCCTCCCAGTTTGCTCTTGTCCAAATGCCACAGTGCTTGTCAAAGCCAGTTCTGATTAATCTTCTTTGTCAGTGTGTCCTTTGCCATTCCCTATCACTCCTCCCTGAGAGAGACTTCACCCTGAGTCATAAGGAAAAGGGGATGGCATATTCTCTTAGCTACGTCCTGCTGAAAAGGGACGCTGTGGGTTTCAGGGTGAAGATCTTCTCTCACTACTCTAAAGGGCCCCTTTGGCAGTAGGAAACACATAGATTTTATGGAGATTGATTTTGGAATTTAGATGCACTCTTACTGATTGTGCTTGGCCGTACATGTTCATATCCTTGAAGATGTATCATGGGGGTGTTGCAACCTAGAAGACACAAATTTGACTAACAAGTTATAAGTACATGAGTCCAAAGTTGATTTTATTTTTAAAATGTGTCTCAACCCAATAGATGATATTCTTTTGAGGGTTTTTTTTTGTTTTTTGGTTATTTTTAAGTTTCTTTTTAATAAAACATTTCAGGAATGGAATCACTTAGTTACAAAAACTATCCCTGGTATCTGACAAAAGGTCTATGAGAGATCCCACAAGTAGAAGACTTAAATGACCACAGACTACATTTTTAGGAGACTAGAAGTCTGTATTCAGTGTGGTAACTACAGGAAGACGTTATTTCTTCTTGGACCGATGATCCTGACAAATTTTAATGTTTTTATGTTTGGTTGCACGTTTTTTGCGTTTTTTGTATACTCTCTCCAGTCCAGAACTTTGTACACTTTTAGAGTGGTCAACAGTGGTGATTGGGTAGTCACTAGTTCTTTTGGTATTAGAGTTCTAGAGATTGTGGTTAATGGTATTCATTAACCCTTTGGACTCCTTGTTTGTGTCTTTGATTTCATCCTCTTTCTTTGTTCTAGACAGAGATAGATGAATACTTGTATCTTAGATGGCTGCTCGCAAGCTTTTATGATCCCAGTTGATGATGGCAAAAGTAAAATGTAAAGGACTATTTTAGTGGACTGTGTTACGCCACTGACCTGTTCTTCTCAAATGTGACCATGAGTCCTTAGGACCAATAGCTCATTTCCACTGAACATGGTTTACTATTTAGGGGTTTCCTTACTTTTTGCCCTTTTATTAGTTCCTTATTTCTTTGTACATGTTGCAAAATATAAACAATGCTTTTAAAAAGAGGATGTGGGAGACATGGAAGGCATCTAACATCTTCTAACTTGATGAGACAGAAGTCACTGTTTTGGGCACCATTAGCCTAACGCTGAGTTCTGTGAGGTAGAGGTGAGGTATACCTTCTCTCTCGTCAAACTCTACCAATTCTGTAACAAGCTTCCTTTTCCTTGGTACTCATCTTCACTAGGTTTGATCATTTACTGGCACAGGTAACCCAGAACTTAAAATAATCAAGATTATGCCTTGACATACAACATAGCTCTAATAACCAAAACAGCATGGTACTGTTATAATGACAGACACATAGACCAGAGGAACAGAATTGAGAATCCAGAAATCAATCAAAAGCTTTTGAGCAGCCATCTAAGATACAAGTATTTGTTTCTCTCTGCCGAGAACAAAGAAGGAAGAAAATTGAAAGACACTGGTCAACTGGTATTTGACAAAAAAACAAAACCTGTCATCAAATGAAGGAAAAACAACCTCTTCAGTAAATGGTGTTGGCAAAGTTTAACTTGCAGAAAGCTGAAGTAGGATCCACATTTCACACCATACACAAAAATCACTTCAAGGGGGATTAGAGACCCTCAGGTAAAGCGCAAACCAGAAAGATTATAAGGGACAAAATTAGACCAAACTGAGAAGCCCCAGCCTATGGTACAAATAGACTGACAAATATAACCAACAATGTATATGAAAGGATAACATCAATGAATGATACTTTTAAACAATTAAGTCCCTGTGTGCATCAAAAACTTTCCAATAAGGTGAAAAGATAACCTACTGACTATTGAAAACATTTGAAAATACCATCTCAGACAGTGGTTACATACTGAAAGTTTACAGAATGCTGCAGGACCTCCACAAGAAAAATGCTGGTAAACCAATTCCTAAAACGATAAAAGGCACAGAAAGAATTCAGCTGTGAAGCCATCTGGTCCAGGGCATGGTTTTTTTAATTTTGTTTGGTTTTTTGTGGGAGAGTCTTTTTATGTCCTGCTCAATTTCTTCTTTTGTGATGGGTCTGTTCAAGTGTTCTACAACTGACTGTGTAAATCTGGGTAGAGCATGAGTTTCAAGGAATTTGTCCATTTTTCAAATTTATCCACGCATAGCTTTTCATAATATTCTGATATTATAGACTTAATTTCCTCTGGTTCTGTTATTATGTCACCTCTATCATTCCTTAATCAATTTATTTGTGTGGTTTTTTTCTTTTGTTCAGTTTGTAAGTTGTTTGTCAGAAAAACCACCTCCTGGTCTTATTGATGGTTTCAATTGTTTTTCTGTTTTCTATCTCATTAATTTCCGCTCTTATCCTTGCAGTTTCCTTTTTTTCTAGAGGCTGTTGGTTTAGATTGTTGGTCTATAAATTCTACCAAACATTCAAGAGAAGATTTCTCACCAGAAAAAGAAGGAAAATTCCAGAAGACATTAGCCCTAATTCCAAAACCAGGCAAATATATTACCAAAAAAGAAAACTACAGACAAATATCTCTCGTGAACATAGATGCAAAAATCCTTAACAAAATCCTAGCCAATATAATAAAAAAAGCACATAAAAAAATATACTCATCATGTTCAAGTGGGATTTATTAGCGGTATGCAAGGATGGTTTAACATAAGAAAAACAATCAACGTAAGTCACCATATTAACAACACAAATAACAAGAACCATATAATCCTAGCAATTAATGCAGAAAAGGCATTTGACAAAAGGCTTGGAAAGACTTCACAGAGGAAGATGGCCATCAGGCACATGAGGAAATCCTTAAAATCACTGGCAATAAGATAGATGCAAACCAAAACCACAATGAGACATTGTCTCGCTCTAGTAGCAATGGCAAAAATCTAACATTACAGCAAGCAATAAATGTTGGAGAGAATGTGGAGAGGTGGAGACTCATACATTATTGGCAGCATTGTAAAATGGCACAACCACTCTGGAAGACAGTTTGACATTTCCTCAACAAGCGGAACATAGAAATGCCATATGATCCAAATATTCCACTGCTAGGCATATACCTTGAGGAAAATAGTACCGAGACACAGAGATTGGTACACCAGTGCACCATAGCAGCAGCATTCACATTAGCGAGAAAATGGAAACAACCTAAATGTCCAGCAAGAAATGAATGAATTGAGAAATTGTGGTATGTTCACATGATGGAATACTATGTAGCACACAGGAGCAAACTTCCTTCCAAGAGTACTCAGTTTTCTCCCTTTGAACTCATAAGCCTGATACACCAGCTTGTGCTGGTCTCTTGGTTCTGCTGCCACTGTTTTTGCTGTTTCTTGTGCTCAGTTTTTCTGTGTCCTGGGTCAAAGAGGACCTCAGCACATGGACCATGCATCCAAAGGACAACTTCTACCCCAATTTCTTCTTGTTAACAGAACTTTTCCCCTTTGCACCTCTGAGATCATTTGTTTTAAGCCTTCCAACAAAACTCATTGCTGTCAAGTTAGATCCAATTCTTTGCTAACTCTCCTTTGAGTTTCTAGCCGTTTGGTTTCTGGAGCTATAAAATGCAAGGGAAGAGTTCGCCAGCAGAGACACTGGTGGATTCAAAGCACCAGAGATGCATGTCTTGGATTAGCAGCAGAACTCAGTATAGACTATATGAGCAGAGCTCCCTGTTTTAAGTCTAGCAAGATGGAAATCACTCCCCTCATTGAGGTCCTTATTTGCATTGCCCCAGCCCCAACAAGGTGCATGCTTGATTAGTAAGCTGTCTAATCCGCTTACCTTAAGAAGCATATTTGCATGTTTCCATCTAGTCATTTAGTAGGAGTGATAAGATTTTCGTTAAAAGGAACATAAAAAGCAACAATATATTACATTGCCACAATTTATTTAAGAACAACTGGATGAATAAAGGTCATGGAGTGTAGTCTTCAATATGGTTTGAAGTTCAACATCAAGAAGAGAATAGTTGTCATCAACAGGCCAGTTGGCAGCACCATGATGGTTGGAGAAGAGATTGAACTTGTTAACAATTTCACCTTGCTTGAATCCACAGTCTCTTGGTACTAGCAGGAACTCAGAAGGTGAATTGCATTAGAGAAGTCTGCTGTTAGATACCTCTGTAAAGGTGCTAAAAAAAAAATTAAGATGTCAGTCTAGAGACTAAGGTGGATCTGATTCAGGCTGTGGTCTTTGCAGTTACTTGCTATGCATGAGTGAGCTGAACAATGACATAGAATGACAGAAGGAGAATCAACACCTTTGAGTTGTGGTGATGGAGAAGAGTGTTGAACATACCATGGACAGCCAGGAGAACACATAGGTCTATCTTGGGGAGGGTGAAATCAAGTTTCTTCTTGGGGGCAAGGGTTTTGACACTCTGTCTCAGTACTTTGGTCACATGGTCAGGAGGGACCTTAGAGAAAGACTGTAAAGTCATGAACTCAAGAAAAGGACCAGGGTATAGGAAGGCTTAAAGGCAGTTTTAGTAGGAGCTCCTGGGCGAGGTTCCTTTGTTTGAAGATAGAAACCAAGGAAGTTGTGCCCAGGTTATATTTGTGGGAGTTTTTATAGCAGGATTTTGATAGAGGGGGAAGAGTAGTGACATTCCGTTGTGCTTTATGGTTTATCCAGGTGGGTGGGGCCATTCATTCTTTTGATTGTGCAGGGGCAGCACAGGAGAGGAAGACTCCAGAGGAAATTAAGTGACATAGGAACTGGGGTAATGGGGGTAGGTTTATGGGCGGGGGTTGGGAGAGAGAGAGAGAGAAAGAGTCATAATAGAGCAAGGTTCAGAGTTATTGTACATAGGGTTGATATGAGTTGTGGGAGAATCATGCCACATTACAACAAAACAGCATATATAAATTTTTTTTAAAAAAAATTATATCACTAGCTCACTTTCTCTCTGAAATGCTCTGGTGGCATATTGGTGAAGAATTGCACTGTCAACACAAAGGCACACAGTTCAAATCCACCCGCTATTCCATAGGAGAAAGGTAGGCAATCTCCTGTGTGATTTATTGCCTCTGGAGTGTCATTTATGGGTCAGTTTCAACTCAGCAGTACACAACAGCAAATTGAAACATGAGGTACTACCAGCCCAAGACTACTTTAAATTATTTGTTTGAGTTTGATTTCCATAGATGATTTTCATTTTTACCTTTCTATCCAGCACCAAATTCACAACATAACAAGTGGTTTTCTTTATTTGTGGCCGGAGTGGTAACATGATATATGGAAGAGATAGGGCTGGGTTTAGTTCTTAGTGCAGTATATATCTAGGTAGTCTCCCCACCCCAAGGAAGCCTTAAGACTTTGTCCTCTACTCTCCATACCTCGTAAAGCTGAAATTCAAAGTCACTACATCTCAGTAAGTTTTAGTGTATTTAGTTCTTTGCTTACTTCTGTGGTTCCTTATTTACCTATTCTTTTAAGGATTCTTGTCATTCTAACTATATTACTGGTGTGTTAAAAATTAGTTTTTAAAATGTTTATCCAGTATTTTTAGTTTTCAGATCACCTGTATGGTCTGGAATAGATGTGCCCCTTTAATTTTCACAAAAGATGTGATTTTTACTCTACTGTTAAGAAACATGAGAACATCTGCTTTAAGTAGTATACTTGTTTCTCTGTTAATTTCATAATTTGCTAATTCTAAAGTTTTGTCTTATTTTAGTTCTGATTAAGATTAAATGGTTTTCCTATTCATAGTCTTGCATTTTACAGTGTATATATCCTATGCACGTAACTGCATTTATAATAAATTCCTAGGCAAAGGGTTGCTGGATTGAAAGAATGCGTTTTTCTCAATGAATTTGGTTGCCTGTTGTTCCCCATTATTTCTTACCAGATATTTATAATCACTAAAGTCCCTTTAAGTAGTATAAGTAGTCTTTTAAACTACTTGTGCACATTTTCTCTTTTTATAATCTTTTTGGGGGGAGGTGGTTTTTGGTGTATGTGTGTCTGCCGTCAAATTGGATCTGACTGGCACAAGAACTTGTCCCTTCTTCTCCAGCAGAGCATCTGGTGGATTCGAACCATCTTTTTATAATGCTTAACAAATTATTTGGTTATTAAATTTTTCAACTCTGTGAGAAAATACTGATTAAGAGGATACACAGTAGGAAGCATCTGCAAATAACAATTAGACCTGAAATGAATTTTTTATAATTCTTAACTGATGTATTTTGAGATTTTTTTGTTTTAGAATACTTGTTTGTTTGGTGTAATTCTGTGTATGTTCGTATGTTGGTAAGCTATAAAATTGGGTTTTGTGACTATGTATGAAACTTTTAAAAACTACTTGTTTATAAATATAAATGTTCTTTTAGGCTGGAGTGAGCAGTTACCAGATACTCTAGTTGATGAATCTGTTTCTGTGGCTGAAAATACAGAAAAGATAAAGAAGAGATACCGAAAAAGGAAAAATAAGCTTGAAGAAACCTTCCCTTCCTACTTACAAGTAATATTTTTCTCCACATTATATTTTATAGTTAAGGAAGTGTAATGTGTTCAGTTTTGAAGAAAAGATTTTTTTTTATGTTTTACTGGCTTTTATTGGGTTTGTTTATCATTAAAAAATGCCTTTTTTTTATTTACCAAGATGCCATGAAAGTGATCATTTCCCTTTCTTGTGGTTTGGTACTCTCCAAGTTCTTCCTAGTCTGTTTGTTCCTTTGTAGGTATTTCTACAACATGACAGGTAGTCTGTGTTTTGTGTGAGGGTACTCCAGATGTGAAAGGTGGTTCTTCCAACCAGCCTCACCCATGTGCCACCCAGAAAAGTCCTACTGACATTCATTTTGCCGGAACCGGTTAGAGTAAATATATTAATTCAATAATGATTTCTTTTTGGCAGCCTCTGTTAGAGTTTTAACTGCTTTTGTAGGTTCATTGAAGTATATATTTAAGCCAAATTCCTTTTATCCAAAGTATGCATAAGAAAATAACTCTCAATATAAAGAAATTATGTTTGGGAAAAGTTCAGCTACATTAAAATAGAATTCTTTTTACTTTAAAAAAAATTTATTTTTTGTGTGTGCTTGTGTACCTTCAAATCAGATCTGACTGGTACAGGAAGAAGAGCATCCAGTGGATTCAAACTACTCTCCTTGGGATTGCAATACAGCTTCTTGCCACTAGGCCACCTGAGCTCACGCTTTACTTTTTATATATTATTTCAAAAAGTTAAAGATGTGATCTCTTGGAAAGAACTCTGTTTTAGAACAGATTTGCCACTGAACATCAGACTCTGCAACTTGATCCTTCAGTGTCCTAAACAAGTTGTCCTTTTCCCCTAGGCCTTCATGAAATTTAATTCGAATTTTATAGAGTATCCATCTTAATTTCAGTGTCTATAATTGATCCTTCTAATAGAACTATATATTCAGTTGTCTGTCTTTCTTTTTTAAAGTTTCCAGTTAACTTTGTTCTATAGGTGAACTATTAACTAACATCAGCTAATTGATTTTCAGATCCATTTGCTTTCTAGTAACATAATTCGTTACCTTTTTTTTTTTTTTTTTTTGAGTAACTGAAAATCAAACTTAATACATTCAATTTGGAACTGATCCATAGCTGACTCTCCTGTGGGTTTCTGAGGCTGTGCGTCATTGTAAGAAGGTAGTCTGTTTTTCTTCCATAGAGCCATTGACGGATTCATACCATGGCCTTTGTATTAACAGCACAGCTGTCCATGGACTAGGCAACGAGAGCTCCTTAATCTAGTAATTGTTTTTATTTACCGTCAAGTAGGAACTGACTCATAGCTGACCCTCCACCGAGTATTCAGAGGCAGTAAATCACAGGGAGGAGATTGCCCATCTTTTTGTCCCAAAGTGTCTGGTGGATTCAGCCTATATGTCTTTGGCAGCTCAGTTCCTTATTGCTAAGCTACTAGATTGTTGTTGTGTACTTCTTAGTCAGAACTAACACTAACTCATAGCTGACCCTCCAGCAGGTTTTCACAGGCAGTAAATTGCAGGGCAGGAGGTTGTCCATCTTACTTCCATAGAGCAATATGTTGGATTTGAACTGGTTACCTTGGAGATTGTAACACAGCTTCTTATAACTACGCCACCATACCTCCCTGAGACACCAGATTAAGAGTATAAAAACCAAGCACTGATTTGTATAGATTTTTAAGCAGAGTCAAGTCATTCAGTGCTGTCTGGTTAGAACTAAATCAAAGCTGACTTTCCAGTGGGTTTTTGGGAACTGTAAACTTCAGTGCCCATTTTTCTCTGTGGAGCACCAGAGAGAGAAGACTTTTGGATAACAGCACAGCTTCCTACGGCCTGTGCCATAGAGTTTCCATTAAGCATAGGCACTTGGGTATAGGGTGATGTTGATAGAAATTTTTATTAGCCCGTTATCATATTATGGAAAATCTTATGAAAAGTTAAAATACTGCTCTGCTACTTCATTAATGCTCAGTTATAAGTTACTGAGTGGCACAAATGAGTAAGTATTACAATGCTACCTGAAAGCTTGGTAATTCAGACCTGTGTAGGTCTTGGGAAGACGAGCTTAATAATCTGCTCTACTGAAAGTTTATCACCTTGAAAATACTATAGGTTGGTTCTACTTTGCATACTTGAGTCACTATAATCCAGCCAGCAGCTAACAACAATAAAATCTACATGTATTTTTTTCTGAGTGGCATAACTAGTTAAGTGCTCAGCTACCAGCTGAAAGGATGATTTGAATCTACTCAAAGTTGCCTCAGAGTTACATAGTAATGTTGAGAAATTCATTAAGAGCTATTTGAACCCCTAATTTTGTCCCTTCCATAGTATATCTCCTTCATTTTCTTTAGCAGTTTATGAAAATTATTTCATACATTGGCAAAAGACATTTTAAAAGTATTGCTAATTTCATGATTATTTCTGTGATCTTAATCTACTGAGGTATGGTGGTTTAATGGATAGGACATTATGCTGCCTATCCACAGGTGGTGAGTGGTTTGAATCCACCAGCCCCTTTTGAGGAGCGATAGGCAGTCTCCTCATATGATTTACAGCCTCTGAAAACCTGCTGGAGAGTCAGCTTTGAGTTGGTTCCAACCCAGTGGTAATGAGTGAGTCTGTTGAGCAAGATTGTTTCTTCTGGTATACAGAAGTAGTATCTAATCTGGTTTTGTTTTTATGTAAAAGAAACCTTTCTAATGATACAAACTCTTGAGCATCTTTTCATAACACTTGTACTAATTTTCCATTGATGAGAAAATGCTTAGTGACAAAACCTCATTAGAAATTCAGTAACATTTTTTTTTCAAGTATCTGTTAATCATAACAGTGTCAAGGTAAACATAAAGTAATTGTGCAGTTTATGCACTAAAAGTATCAGTTTTACCTTGAATAACTAGCTATGTACATATAGTTTTAGGAACCTCTAATAATAGCTCTATTCTCTCCATTATTTGTCAGAGTACCAAGTAATAGAATTATGTAAAAGACATCAAATAACAATGGTATTGTTTAATAAGCACAGTAAAGACATCATGAGATATTTATAAAAATAATTCCAGGAAAATTGGCCTCAGATTTCTCAAAATTCTGTGGGGGAATTAAAACATCTCTAACATTATAAAATTCATTTTCCTAATAAAAAACATTGCTGTTATATGCTGGTAGGTTTCCTAGCTTTGTGGATTTTCAAATTTATTTACTGTAGTGGAACAGTTTGTTTGTTATTTTAAAATGTGAGACATATACTGCTTGAGGTATACTTAAGTCTTTGTTCCTGAAGTAAGATCTAAAAAGGATAATGACAATAATGGCACAAAATGAAGCTTATAGTCATTATACATGTAAAAGTATTCCATTACAAAATATTTTGGTATAGATTTCATCATTTCAAGTGTGCTTCTCTATCCAACCACCTCAGAATCTCTCTTCAAAGTGATTAATGGCAATTTAGTGTTTTCAGAATGTTAAAAATGTTAAAAATAATTTACTTACATGTTGTTGTTGTTGTGTGTGTCATGGAGTCAGAACTGACCCATAGCTGACTCTCCAGGTGACTCAAACCATGTGCCTTTGGGATTTTAATGAAGCTTACCATGGGGCCTACAGAATCCTTAGGATTATGCTGCAGTCCCAAAGGCATGTGGTTCAAATCCACCAACTACTCTGCAGGAGAATGATGAGCAGAAGGGTCAGCTGTGGGTGGGTTTTGACTCAATGGCACATAACAATTTACTTAAAGAAGTATGTAATATTACTGATTAGCATTTTTATTTTGCTAGATATTTTATGTTGCTCAGTTTACTTTCTATTAATACTGTGTTTTAGAGCTCTTCTTTTACAACAGTTCTATATCCTTTTAAAAAATTCATGTGTTATATTTTTTATTATAAGTGTAAGTCAACATTCAGTGCTCAGGCTGTTCGTTCATAGGGTCGCTATGAGTCGTCTATGACTCCACGGCATTAAACAACAACAAGAAGTCAACATTAGTATAAATATATAGTCTAGTGTGTATTGATGAACTTTAAGGCTTTCACCCTTTAGTATTAAAAAACAATAACAGTGACATATCTTTTATAAGTCTACGTTACTTATTGATAACTACTGCTAAATTGTCCACTACAAGGACTGTCCAGATAGACCACATTAAAGAAAACAGATTAATGCAAAGTTAACTCAGTTGAAATAAGTAAAAAGATCCCAAGTTCTTCATTTCTGCATTTTTTGTTGATCCTTGGGATGTTTTACAGTCCCTCAGTTGCAGGAAACCCTATTGAAAGCACCAGTGTCCTAAGTATCTTGAAGTAGAAAAATGTTAAAATGTTGTTGTTGTTGAGTACCATCAAGTCGAAATGACCCATAGCTGATCCTCCCTCAGGTTTTCAAAGGTGGTAAACTGTGCAGGAGGAGACTCACCATCAGTATCACACCGTAGTATAATGAAAATGGAAAAAAAAAACCCTTCTTCAGATTTACAGAATGTGAAATCTATGACTCAATAAAAAAATTAAAAATCTGTCTGACATAATGTAAATATTAAAGCTTTAAGTAGAATCCTTGTCATGTTCTTTGTAAGTAATCTACAAATATTTATATTTATGATGCTTTAGTTCTACTTGTAATTAGTTAGAGTACTAATAGTAATTGTCAATCTTAATACTTTGAAATTTTAACCTAATCATCTAAAGTGCTTGAATTATTATACTGTATTTGTTAGAAACACGTTTGACATAATTATGTAGTTTTAGAAAAACTACCAAAATCCTTCTTTACAATAAGACATAACTATAAAAGAATTTGTAAGATTTTTTTGTATTTATTAATGATTATTATTATTTCATATACAGCATTTCTGGTATTTCTTCTTAGCAAAAATAATAGCAATAATTGATTGGTTTTATATCATTTTATAATTAATTCTTTTCATATGTGCTTTGTGTAGGAAGCTTTCTTTGGAAAAGATCTTCTAGATACAAGTAGACAGTACAAGCTGAGTTTAGATAATCTATCAGAAGATACAGCTCAACTTTCATGTAAAACAAATATGAACCGAAATTTCTTGGATCCTTCCTTTGATCCACTACTTAGTTCATCCTCAACTTCAGGAAAACCTGCAGCCCAAGGTATTTGAAATAATTAATGGATTCTTTGTTTTATCAGAGAAAATTAATCTTTCTTTAAATAAAATCTTTGAAATTCTTTAGTTTGTTCACTTCACTTACTTATTCTCTACTTCATAGAAGTATAAAAGTTAAGTTCTGTATGAGTTGGCTGAGTAATTGTGTAATTCCCACTAGTATCAAAAGTTGGGGAAGAAAATATGCAGTTTGTCATTTGCAGAGATATAGACAGTGTTGTCTCATCATCAGTAATGTGTGAGTGAAATAAGATATTTTTTATTTATTACATAGCTGAAAGAAATTTAGGGTAAAGGAAAAGCTACTGCTGTGGCGAGGAACTGGTTATATATTGCATTATATAATATTTTCTCAGCTTTGACACTTCTGACAGTTTGAGTTATGAATTGTAGGAAAGAACCTAATCCTATGTATCTCTGGTCCTGTGGACATTAGTATGATCATAAATGTCTCCAGATATTGCTAGTTGTTGCTTAGATAAAAGTCGTGCCCAGTTGAGAACCACTACTCCAGACACTGTAAGTTGTAGGAGCTACTTAGAATCAATGAAATGAGGTGAGAACTTAAAAATATTTATAAACAGATGTTAATATTAGGATTCTAAGAGTTTAGCTAGATAAAGATGCAGTAATTGTGATTACAGTGTTCATTCTGGGTTCCTTGATGCAAATAATGCTGTGTTAGTCTCTCTCTTTTCCCATTGCTTACATTTACTACTTTTAAAACTGACTTGAGAAAGCAAATTACTTTCATTGTATCAATATTTTCACTCACTCGGCAATATCTGGAGTTGAAATGGAGATATTTATTTTAAATTTTTATTACTTCAGGTACTCGGAAGCATCTGTACTCCCTTCACATGTACATCCACTCTACCTGGTAGTAACAAAATGAAAGCCCTTGACTAATGGCCAAGTTTAGTTTAAGTCTTTTTTTTTTATGTTTAAGTCTTTTAAACAGTCAAAGTCAAGAAAGGAGTGTGTCAGGGATATATCTTTACCCCATACCTTTTAAATCTTTCTGCGGAACAGAGCATTCAACTAGCTGGACTTTATGAAGGAGACTATGGAATCAGGATTGGAGGAAGTCAACTGGCCTGGCGTTGTGCTTATGGCACAACCTTGCTCACCAAGGACTTAAAGCACAGAACGTCAAGGACTACAGTGTTCAGTATAGATGGATACCATCTCAACATAAAAAACCAACACCCAAGATCCTTTCCCCTGGGTCAGTTGGCAGCATCACGATGAGGAAAAATTGAGGTTATTAACAATTTCATCTTGATCTGATACACGATCAACACAAGTTGAAATAAAAATCAAAAGACAAGTTGGTTTGGGAAAGTCTGCTGTAAGGTACTTCTCAAGAGTAAAAAGCAGCGATACCAGTCTAGAAACTAAAGTGTGCCTTATGCAGGCCATAATCTTCTCAGTTGTTTATTACATGTTTAAGAGCTGGAAAAATTATTGAGGATGGGAGAAGAATAATTAATGCCTTTGAGTTGTGGTGCTAGAGAAGAGTATTGAACATACCATGGACTTCTAAGAGAACAAACAGATCTCTCCTGGATAGGATGAAAGCGGGTTGCTCCTTGGAGGAAAGGATTTTAAAACTGCCTTACAGACTTTGGTTATGTTGTCATGAGGGACCAGTCCATGGTGAAGGATTCCATGCTTGGGAATGGTAAAGGATCAGCACTGAAGAGGAGGATCCTGGTTGAGATGGATTGACACAGTGACTGTGGCAATGAGGTCAGAGGTATCAGAGATGATGAGATAATTCTCTTCCATCCCGATTGTTATCAATCCACAAATATTTCTCTACTGTCGAAATATATTCTCATGGCAGCGACTTTTCTCATCCCTCTTCCCAGTCTCCGTATACACACAGTCATCCTCACTCCAATAGACTTCAGCTCCTCGTCCAAAGTGGCCTATAGTCCTACAGTCATGTCCACGTTCCCCACCCATATGCCAAGTCTTTTTTCTACATGACAGCCATTGTGTTCCATTCCTTAGTTCTCAACCAATCCCCAGTTTGTTTCCCATTAAACTTTAGAATAAAGGGTATGGCTTCATCAGGGCCTGTGAAGCCCTACTTAATCTTGCCCTACCTGCTACATTTCTTTCATTTATTATATGTCACCACTCTGGCATCTTATATTTGCTAAAACTCTTCCTACCCTAGGGACTTTGCCTAAGGAGTTCTTGTGGCATAGTTACACTGGTAGCCAAAAGGCTGCGAATCTCTAGTGGTTCAAAACCGTCAACAGTTCCTTGGTAGAAAGATGGGCAGCCTTCTCTTGTGAAGATAGGCAGCCTCAGAAACCCAGGAGAGGGTCACCATAACTCAGAATCACTTCAGCCGCAATGCATTGATTGCTTTTGGAACATTCTGGTGGTGTAGTGAAGTACGTTTGGGACTGCTGACTAGAAGCTCGGAAATTTAAATCCAGCAGCCACCCCATGAGAGGGGAGAGGATGCACTCTATACTTATTAAGATTTACAGCCTTGGAAACCCTACAAGGGTCATCTTGAGTCAGTATCCACTTGACACGATTTTTTGTTTTTATTCTGTATGATGTGTTGTCTGTACTCATCTTACTCCCTTATTCCATTTAGATTTATGCTTAGTCATCTCCTTACCAAAAGTCTTCCCTGCTCACCATATGTGTAATACTGTACCCTGTAAAGTACTCTTGTTTTTATTTTGTATTATTTTTTAATACTGATGTTGATGATGTTTACTTACTAACTTCTGAGGAAGTAAGCAGTTTGAGGACTGGCACTTTATTTTTGTCACTTCGAATAGATGCACCTCAGAGTCCCAGACCACCACAATAAAGGAATATTGCAATAAAGCAAATCACATGAATGTTTTTGTTTCACAGTGCATGCATGTAACAGTTAGCTTTACACCATTTACAGTGTAAGCTTTTATGTGCAGTAGAGTTATTTAAAATTTGGAGTGCTGTGAGGTTTAGCATATTTGGTAATTTTTTGCCAAATAGTGTTACAAAAAATATAAATAGCAAAATATATTCTAAGAAAGTTTGAAATAGTGCAAGGATTACCAAAATGTGATATACTGAGTATATGCTGTTGGAAAAATGATGCAGGTAGTAGTACTACTGTAGTGCAGTTACCACAAACCTTTTTTTTTTTTAAAAAAAAACTTGAAATTCAATAAAAGAGTTCAGTAAAATGAGATAATTCATATATTCCCAGTGGTTGAAACATCATCTGATACATAAACCTTAGACCTAGATACAATTTTTTAAATAAATAGTGAAATCAGTAATTAATATGAAAAATGATGCTGGTATTAGACATCTAACTAGATGATGTTTGGCTTATACAATAAAATTAATTTCAAGTAATGAAACTGTTCATATTTTAATTTTTTTAGAGATAGCATTTAAATATTTTTGCTTATAATGTTTTGTTTAACTTGTGTTGCTTAAAAGTAGTTTAAATTTTATTATCACTATCTGTTATCCACAAATATAAATCATCTAAAAAATTTAATGAACTTTCTTATTGAAAACAATTGGAGTGCCTATGCTATGAAAACATTCTGTGTAGGTGTAGAATTAAGAGTTTTAATGACTAACACACACTTCGGTGTCTGTTATATCATTGGTATTTAGTTAATGTTTGCAAAAGTTGAAGCTATGTTCAACTATCATGCCTAAGAACATACTACCATTTCTTTTTTTTCTTCTATATTTTATTAATTTTCATAAACATTTACAGAGATTTTGGGTTTCCATTCATTCATTGTTGCACTATTCTCTCTACCCTCCTCCCAGTTTGTTCTTGTCCAAATGCCACAGTGCTTGTCAAAGCCAGTTCTGATTAATCTTCTTTGTCAGTGTGTCCTTTGCCATTCCCTATCACTCCTCCCTGAGAGAGACTTCACCCTGAGTCATAAGGAAAAGGGGATGGCGTATTCTCTTAGCTACTTCCTGCTGAAAAGGGACGCTGTGGGTTTCAGGGTGAAGATCTTCTCTCACTACTCTAAAGGGCCCCTTTGGCAGTAGGAAACACATAGACTATTATGGAGATTGATTTTGGAATTTAGATGCACTCTTACTGATTGTGCTTGGCCGTACATGTTCATATCCTTGAAGATGTATCATGGGGGTGTTGCAACCTAGAAGACACAAATTTGACTAACAAGTTATAAGTACATGAGTCCAGAAATTATGGAAAAGTAAAAGAAAAGATTCTTTCATTGTTTTACAAACCGTCCCCCAGGTCCCCTCCACCATGTAGCCTTCGCTCTAGTCTCCTGTGATGACAGAAATACCTAGTTATATATCTCTTTTAAACAGTTTTCTCCCTCCTCTGTTTCAGTGCAGTATACATTACCGAACCCATCTTACTCAGTCTCTCCCCAACCCCAAGGACAGTCCCATTCTACAACAGTGGCATCATGTAATATTTGTCCTTTTGTGACTGGGATATTTCACTCAGCATAATGTTCTCCAGAGTCAACCATTTTGAATAATATTTTATGAGTTCCTTGTTTTTTAATGCAGCATAGTATTCCATTGTGCGAATATACCACAGCTTCTCTAGCCATTCGTTTGTTGATGGGCACTTAGGTTGTTTCCAACTCCTTGCTATTGTGAACAAAGCTGCAATAAACATGGGTGTGCATATATCTGCTTGGATGTCAGCTATGGTCTCTTCAGGGTATATTCCCAGTAGTGGAATTGCTGGGTCAAACGGTATCTCTATTTGCAACTTTTTGAGAAAGCGCCATACTGCTTTCCACAGGGGTTGCACCATTTTACACTCCCACCAACAGTGAATCAGGGTTCCAGTTTCTCCACAGCCTCGCCAGCATTTGTTGCTTGCTGTTTTGTTAAATTTTGCTATTTTGACTGGGGTGAAATGATATCTCATAGTTGTTTTAATTTGCATCTCTCTTAGGGCTAGGGATTTTGAGCATTTCTTCATGTGTTTGTTAGCCATGAAGCTATGTTCAACTATCATCCCTAAGAAAATACTACCATTTCTAAAATATACTTTTTGTGTATAGGTGCTACCGATGATCCACTAGCCGATCTTTCAGAAGTGTTAAATACAGATGATGACATCCTTGGAATTATTTCAGATGATCTAGCAAAATCAGTTGATCATTCAGGTTTGTATGATTTATAGTCTTTCTATTTTTATGATATGTGTGAGAAGTGCGTGGAACAAATTTACTTAATTTTTTTCTTTTCCCCCAATTATTGAGGCTTTCTTCACTTTGTCAGAAAACTCAACATTTTATCTACATCAGCTTTTCTGCTTTAGAAGGGTAGCTAATTTCCACTGCCTTTCTGATTATATTTAAGGCATGTAGCCTTATATTCTTGCAGTACCTTGATTCTTCTTTTGTTTGCATTTCCCCTCCCTTGTGGTAATCATCCATTTTATTGGTTTGGGTCTTGTAGGTCTTGATTTATGCACTTTCCAGGTTGACAGCTCACCATTTACATTTGGTAAGAAACTGCAATGGATGGTCGCTGCCTAGTAGTAGTCTTCTTTTCTATAGTGGTTTCAGCAGAAACAGCCTGTAGGTGCATGCATGTATGTTCGTAACGCTACTTTGTCACTAATTCACACCTTACCACCTTGTGTGTGTGGCTAAAGCATAGTACAGATGAACTGTGCTTTGAATTACTGTCTCCGTAGTTTGGTTCTAGTTGTTCTTTTTATTACTGTCCTTTCTTTCCAATGTATAGTTCTATTCTGATAATAATTTATAATATTACAAAGTCTTAATGTTGCTCCTGTCAAATAAGAATAGACTGAATTGAATTTTCACTTTTTGGAATAATAATATTTAGAAAACATGAAAAAAAGTGGGCAGTAAGCCACTTTTACATGTGAATTTCATAAAAATGCCAATTTATGTGAGATAAAATACCAATTTATTTGTGAATAATTATTTCATAATATTGTAAACATAACCTCTATCTTGCTTGGAACTGTGGAATATTTTTAAAAATATTTTCTGTATTTGAAATTGTTTACAAACCATAATGGCTATAAAAGATTGAGTTTTAGAGCATTTCATTAATTTGTGAAATAGCCCTCTGTTTCACGAATTATATATAATTGTTGAACTGTATGTTTGGTGTCATTATTTTCCAAGTTAAAGGAAATACATAGGTTTGTAAAGATTCTATCTTAAATAATTTGGTGCTTTTGTGGCAATTACCAATGATTTAAAATTATATATGTCTGAGTTACTCAAGAAATACATATTTTTAAATTAAGATATAATTAGCAGTTATGTCTAAAAATACTTTGTACTTAAGTTTTATTGATTGAATAGCTAGTCTGTAAAATAATCCTGATTATTCAGAAGTACAGACGTTCCATTTCTCTTTTAGGGTATTGTTGAAAATTGATTATTATTGGTAAATAGTTTCATGTCTAAGTATGTTGATCACTTTTTAATCTGCTTACCTCATTCTTTTAGCTGGAATAGATATTGGTCACGTCGCTGATGATCCTTCTTCTCTGCCTCAGCCAAGTGTCAGTCAGAGTTCACGACCATTAAGTGAAGAACAACTAGATGGAATCCTCAGTCCAGAGCTAGACAAAATGGTCACAGATGGTAAAATATTTGCCCTACATCTAGGCTTTCTAAAACACATGAGTAAATATGATTTTCAAAGATTTTTGCATGCCTACTTATAATTTACCTACTATACTTAAAATTTCTGTATCAAATATTCTTTTACACATTATATTTAAATGGTGACTGTTAATATTTCTGTTTTTTTATTTTTATCTTAGGAGCAATTCTTGGCAAGTTATATAAAATTCCAGGTATGTGCATTCTGAATTTTTCATTTATTAAAATGGCATTCCTCAACAAACATAATCTTACTGCTCTTATTATTTACTTCATAGAGCTTGGAGGAAAGGATGTTGAAGACTTATTTACTGCTGTACTTAGTCCTGTAACCACTCAGCCAACCCCATTGCCACAAGCTCCACCCCCATCACAGCTGTTACCAGTACACAACCAGGGTATGTTTTTACAGAAAAGTTTTATGAATATACTTCTACATATTTTCATATATTTGTAATTTTTTGTGTAAATATATGCTTATAGGAGTTTTTGAATAGTGCAGTTGGTTAAGCACTTAACCGCTGGCCATAAGATTGATTGTTTGAACCCACCTAGACTCCTCAGATAAACTGTATGAGTCAAAGTCTACTTGACAGCAGCTGACAAAAACATGTTGTTCCTAGCTGGCACAAATAGTATCTGTTTGCTAATTGAAAAGTTGATAGTTTAAATCGCACCAGAGGTGCCTCAAACATCTGATGATCCACTTCCTAGAAATAAGCCATTAAAATCCCAATGGATTATAAGTATTTCTAACAGCCAACTAAAATGAAAGCATATCACTAGCACATAGAGGATGCAGTGGAGGCAGTATTAAAAAGGAAACTAATAAACAGTAAATACTAACAAAGATAAAAATAAAGCTCTCCAGTAATCACACCTAACAATTTGAGGAATTAGAGAAACTAAGCCTAAATGTATCAGAAAGAAAGGGAAGTAGCAGAGATCAGAGCAAAATCCAGTTAAATAGAAAACTGAGTTTCAATAGAATCAATAAAACTAGAAGTTACTTCTTTGAAAATATCAGTAAAATTGACACATTTTTAGACTGGCTAACAAACAGAAGATGCAAATAACCAAAAGAGGAAATATACTACAAATGACCTACTAGAAGTGAACATAATAAAACAACATTATGCACAACTGTATGGTAATAATTAGATAATCTAGATGAGATGGACTAATGAGACACATAACCATGCTGAACTCAAGAGGAAATAAGGGAGCGCCAGCGTTCTGGCTGCGGGAAGGAGGAGACAACTTAGTCACTCCTGGGTCTCAGTCCTTCCCTCCGGCACCGCTGTGGGCTGGCTGCGGGCCGAGGGTGGGTGACCCTAAGACGGACGACCACAGCATGTCGTCCTCGGACCCCACCACCGAGGGAGAGAGAACCCCCACCCAGCCCGCCAAAAAAGACACCTAAGAAAGAAAAGCCTAAGCCTAAAGCTGCTTCTAAAAGTAAAAAATCCGCAAAAAGTGCTAATGTTAAGAAGGCAGATAGCAACACCACCAAGAAGAATCAAAACAGTTCCAAGAAAGAAAGTGAATCAGAAGATAGTTCAGATGATGAACCTCTTAATTAAAAAATTGAAGAAGCCTCTTACAGACGAAGAGTTAAAGGAAACAGTTAAAAAATTATTGGCAAATACTAACCTGGAGGAAGTCACAATGAAACAGATTTGCAAAGAGGTATATGAAAATTATCCAGCTTATGATTTAACTGAAAGGAAAGATTTCATAAAAACAACTGTTAAAGAGCTAATTTCTTGAAATAAGACTCAGCCCATGGATTTGAAGATCTGATTTATACCAGCAGAGAGAATGTATTTCTTTTCCTAAATCATTCTTAAGCATTTTGTTGGTAGGATTTACCACTGACCTTTTGATCTGGAGTGTTATGTAAACCTGACTTTGCCGTTTAAATTGCATTTCTATGCATTTAGTTTAAATCTTGCATGGCAGTAATTCTTTGCTTTTATAGTTATATTTTGTACATTTTTAATTTCTTTATATAAGATTGTAGATTCTTTAAACTATTGTGGTTTTTAGTGCGCTTTATATTAGCTAGCTTAAGACTTTTAATCAAGTAGAATGAAGGCTGTTATTACTGGCATCTATACATGCAGCGAGTATTGCAGTATTTAGTATATGGAATATTTTGAAATACACATTTCTTCTGTCATTCAGTGGCAGTGTGTTCATCATATTAAAAATATACAGGCTATAGCTGTCAGATGACACATCTGACCTTTTCTCGTGCATGTCCACTTGTCAGCATGACAGAAGTGACAAATATTATTTTTGTACTTTCAAAAACAAATTTGTATATAAAGTTTTTTTATTTCTTTTGTGCGGATCCATTTTTAAACACATATAGGTAGCTATCTTTATAAACAATGAAATGTCAGTGTTCAGCCAGGTTGGTATGACAGAGCAGTCAGCAGTATTCAGTAAGCACTGAAG